AATGTGCACGCGAACTTTTGCTAACTCAATGAATACCAGGAAATAGGACACAACCTTAGTACCATTGGAAAGGTGGGAATAAATGAAAATTTATGATACCAAGAACGGGAGAAAACATCCAGAAATGAATGAGATATAGGGACATGAAGTTGGAAACCTGAAAACGCGCGGGAAAACAGCTTCAAGAGGTCCAGAGTCCTAAATAAAATACATAAAAATATGATATCTTCAAGGACGACCTACTATAACAACGAACAATACATATGGAGGATTAGGATGTGATAATACAAAGGGGAATCAGGGAATATGAATGAAATTCACGAAAACCACTAAACTACGACGGACCATGGCGGGAATTTTAGGGAATGATGTTCTAATGAAGTGGAGAGCTATAACACATTCGTTTGAGTAATTCTTGACTACTAGCAACTTTTTCTTTCAGTTTTAAACCTGAATAATTCACTCATTTATCATTTCAGTCTCATTTTAACTAAATGTCACTAAATAAAAATTGGAATAAATCAGCTGAAGGTCTCAGCACAGCCGTACGCATAGTAATGCGAAGTTTGAATTCAGAATCATCGAGTCATAGCAAATTTAATGGTATATATAGGGAATTTGAAATAGGTAACTGCGACAAATACAGCGCAGCCAAGTTCCAATTAACCATTAAAATAGCTTAGGCGAGGGAGGACAATAAGAATTCTAGGCGCAGTAGAACTATAGCATGAAAATTTCATTTTTTATTCAGTTTGAGAAAAATACACTGTAAATAAATCCTGTAAATAGAAGGTAGAGCATGAAAAAGGAAGGCGACCCAAGGAGTATAAAAGGGAGACCCTTTCTGCGACTTTTTGCCCCCCTTAGAGAAGTAAGAAAATAGAGTATTATTTTTCTCAAGCATTTCTGGTTGTCACTCCAGTGCGAAAAAGTGATATACAGTTAAGATTGCCACTGTAGTAAAAGGCAGCAATTAAGGAGAGAAATATTAAGTAGATATTTCAACAGGAGAGCTGGTTAACACTCCAGATTTCAAAGTGTAAACACAAAACAGTTATCTTGCTACTGTTAAAACAAGCAATAAAATAAGACAAAAATAAAATAAACCCAAGGGACACTCCAGACACAATCCAAATCCATTAACTGATTAGAATCTTTGAAACTTCACCAAGTAGAAGATTAAATCCAAATTAAACAACGCTACACAGAATTACACCTAGACAAATTAAGAAATTTCAATAAAGAAACAGCTCTGCAGGGCTCGGTTTATCTGTAAGTCAATTCCCAGGAACTTTAAAACTAACCCATAAAAATAGAATTAGCCAAAACACTCGGATTGGTACTATATTTACAATAAATAACACTAGTACACTTCCCCATCCTAACTAAAGAACCAGGGAACAGCTTGGTGGTGGTCTCGTTTGAACCTCCCAACTGACCTTCCTTCGTTCTCTCCTTCAGCAGGGTGACGTGGCGGACCTCATGTGACCCAAGCCGCATGTATATAAACACACCTGGGGTGGGAACTGAAGAAGTAACCTTCTTCTCAACATTCCCACTTCAGTCTAAGTGGCCAGGGATCGCTGTCCTGCATTGGGCCTGCCAGTACGCATGCCCGATCTACCCCCCGTGAGGTCCTCAGCACCGGACGCTACGCCTGGACCACCTCGACCCCAGACGCGTCCCTGACAAGTGGTTCAAATTGGTTCGTAACTACATACACACTGAAGAAGGTGTAAGATTCTACACTATGATGTATCATCTTGCCTGGTCGTTGAAGACAGGCAAACCCTCGCAAGAGGATGTCAACACCTGTACCGACTGGTACAGGGTGGCTACGAACAACCATGCCTCACGAATGCATATGTCGCATGACGACATTGAGACAGAGGCGAAAAGACTTCCCAACCAGTATCCCCCTGCTCATATTGCACAGATGTACATCCTCACATGTAGATGGATAAAGCCAATGACTGACGACACTTGTGAGCATCGTAAAATTCAGCATCAAGAACGAGCACTCATGTACTCGAACCCTCCCCCAGTGTCATACTCAAACCCACCTGTGATGTACGCAAACCTTCACCCTGTGGTGTATTTGAACCCTCTGCCACAGTACCCCCCTCTGATGTACATGCACTCATCAGTGTATGAATCCACCCATGCACCACCAGTGCATGGGCATGCTCCTCCATGCACTTCCCATGGGCAAGGCCATCCTGCACACCATGTCCATTACTCTCACTGTCATCAAGACAAGGATTCATCCATGAACGACATCAACGTCAAGACTCATCATGACAACAACAACTATCTCAGTGATGATGTTGCTGTCAATACAGCAAGGTCCATGATGACTCATAGGACCATGTCAAATTGCCCATCTGGCTCTGGCCTGTCGGGGTCTGTGCTGTGCAAACGGATGAGGAACTGAACCCCTCATATCCCTACCTTCATCAATGACAATACCATCATTGATTATCTACCTTGTACCATTCCTCCTTCATCAACAACAATGTTGTCATTGATTGTTCATGTCATATCTGTGCATACCTGACCCCGACCCGACTTCCGGACCTCCACCCTCTTCACCTCCAGAGTCATACCCTACCGCTGCCGTTCCAATACTCACCTCCGGTCCTGGCAACACACCTCCTTCTACCCCCCACGCCACCTCTACTCCTCCTCCCCTCTCCTCCCCTATCTCCATCCGCTCCGATACTCACCTCGGACCGAACACCGCCCCTCTCGCCACCCTCCTACTACTTCTCCACCCTCCTACTCCGCTCCTCCTTCACAACACCTCCACCCTCCCGTCACCCTCCTATGCTTCCCCCGTCCACTCCGATACTCACCTTCGGACCTGACAACTCTCCTTTCCGCCACTCCTCCTCCCTTACCTTTCCCCTCTCTCCTCCCTCTGGTACTCCTCCGCCACCCTCCCGCCAAGTTACGACCTTCCACCGCTGTCCCGTACTTCGTACTACTATGTAAACACCATTGCCAATATCCCTCGGACTTTCAACCCCGCCTCCGTAACCTCCGTAAGCTCCGCAACCCCCAAGCTTCGCGGATCGCCTTTGGCACTTTTGCCGCTTGTAATGTATCTCTCGCCTTTACCCCTCATCCCTATTTGGACTACTGCTTCTTCCCATTCTAGCCAGTTAGTCATCATCCCCACTTCTCCTCATCCTCCTGCCCCTCTGGGCCTCGCCCTCCCTACCTCCTTTCGGACGTATCACAGGTCCTGCCTTATGACCTTCAGTACCGCTCCGCTTCTTCTACCCTTTGTTCCCGTTCGGACGTCTTCGTTCCGATTCGGTTACCCTTTGTTTTCCTTGTGCTTGCCCCCTCCATTATATATATCGGCGCTTGTACATACTCGTTTTGGTTCAGTCCAAAATCGACCTGAAATGCCCCCTAGAGACTTCCTGCTCACCTACTGTGAAATTAAGGACCAAATGGACAAACAGCAATGGCACAGCGCTCCGCTTGAGTCGCTGAGGCCAAGGTCCCTCCATGCTAAGTCTCCGATTCCACTCCGGAGTCGTCTGCATCCGCCCGGTTCTAACAGTTCACTTTATTCTTCATTGACAACAATTCTGCTGTCGATGACCTCAACTTTCAACATCGTCACTATCGACAATGGTATTTAATGACTTGTTCTCAATGGCATTGAAGCCGTTTTTCTCCTTATCATTTCCTACAATCGCAGCGATGAGAAAGTCACTTCATCGTCAACAACACTGTCATCGAGATCTGGGTGCATATGTTCCAGGAGAAACTCTAAGTGGGCTTCGCCTACAAACTACTATTATAGCCTCCTGCAATGTGTGCCCCCATTTGCATACATTCTTTGTATGTAGAATGTCAAATTTAAATTTCTTCAAAATGCTTGTACCCTGTCTGCAATTTAATATCGCAAGGGAGGAGGATGGAGGCTGTGGCCCATGTCTATTCCACTCACAACATCAATTGATGTTGTGTTGTCTAATAATTATGTCGCGATGCTAATTTAGCATCACAGATGCTTCTCTATTTATTTGTGCCAAGAATGGATTAAAATGTATATAAACCCTCAGGGTAGCTGTGTGTGTGTAATTCTCGATATTTTACTTCCCATAGAGGCTGCCCGTTAGGGCGCCAAGGGGAAGGGGCGAGGCCCAAGGCATATTATCATACATGTTTCTATACTCAAGTTCCACATGATTCTAAGCTCCCGGATAACACCAACATTGTTCGCCAATGCCCGGATTCGCAACTGAACAATCCAAATTCTTCTGAATTGTGACAGTGGTAGACCGTATCACATGAGCCTATTATGCTGTGAGTGATTCCCTATAGAACGTCTGGGTCCATGCCAATTGAACTCCTAACTCCTGGCCGGTTGTGCCCATGAGAGGCCCCTTTTGGGTAGTGAATAGAAGACTTAGTCATATGATATGAACCTTTTCTATACTCAATGTAATCGGTAGTGGAGAAGTTGGTGATCAAGTGATCATGAGACCGGCTCCTCGGCTTGTTGGCCCGACGCATAAACACGTGCCTCTTGAGACTTTGGAGAACCACGACCTCCCAACAGGTGAGTCGAACCAACGTCCTCTCAATCGGCAAACACCAGCGAGAGAGTAGATTGGTGGGTGTTACCACTACACCACCACTCCTCCCCTAAAGAGCAGACCAGCCTTTACTTCTACCCCGTCAATATACAGCCCATAAAAGCGTATTATTAGATGGACCATCTGTGGCCTGAGGCGAACGGGGGAACGGAACGTTACCATCCCCAAACAAGTAAGATAAACCTTTCAATTTTCTCATGGTTTTTTTTTCTCAGTGCACCATCCCCTGCACCACCTAAAATTACCTTTAACCGGGTCACTTCATATTGAGAGGCTTCGACTTTCATCGGGGTGGTCACCGCGCTACCTCGCAGTTCCAGGTCACCCATTGTGCACAAGATAATGATTATGGCTGACACATTTACACAATCAGCCAAAAGCAATTCAACTAGTACCACAGAATGACCAATGACCAGCATCACAAGCTCCGCCAGGGTACATACTCCTTACAGCATCCCACATAAATCCTTCATCAGGCTCAAACATTGCAGGGACATCCTTTGACAACCCCAGCAAGTCATCATATGTTCCATCATCCTGGGACCCAATGGTGCGAAAAGTCCTTGAAGAAGCCCCGGCACACCAGATATCAAATGAGGTGAAGGCACTCGTGCGGACCTGTTTCTCTTGCCTTGATGGCTGCACCCTTTCAGGTGGTATTATAACAGAGACTTTGGATTCCTTTGATGCTAGTGCATTCACCATTCGAATCACTGGGGGTGGTCTTGTCGACTTGGCAAAAATTCCAAGCTCGGATGGGTCCATCACGTCAAATAAATGTTGCTTTGGGCTGGTCCCATAAGAGTGATCATTCTTCGACTGTATCATGAGGACAGACATATTGTTCCTTCATAGTATTGTGTGTTGGTAAAGAATTGGAATGACCACATCAATGCCATGTTGATTATCTGCACAGATGACTCCGACACCCCGAGCAGCAAGCTTAAAGAGATATTGGACAGAGAGTACCTTGAAATCATAAACCTTGATGAAATGCGTAACATAGATGCGTGAGCTCTTGAATGTCTCAGCAAATGAGTCGTTACAACTGCCTGTCAGCAGCCTTGAGGGCAATGAATCCTTGATCGACTTGTGATAGATGTCGTGGGTAAAGAGCGCTTCGAACAACGAGGTCACCATGACCCCCCCTGGCTCCCATCTCCCTTCCTTGGACATAAGGTCATCTACAGTGTCGATAATAATGTTGCACGTAATGAGTTCTCCCCGATCTCCCTTACTCATTCCAGGCCACTCCAGAATGTCTTGTAACATCTGACAGGACCGGTCCTTATCCCGGATGGTGCACAAGATGATAGCCGTGGCCTCGGTGAGGATCGGCTCCGAGGCTGCAACTGTGACGACAGACTCAAATCCATCCTTGACACCCAAGCATACATGCATGTGCCTCTCGACTTGGTTCATCTGGTTCCTTACTGCCAACGTTCGGTGCCGACCAAAGTAAATGCTCGTATTGAAGTCCAGCACAAGACGATGAGACATCACGGCAAACTTTTCATCGAGGGTCAAGGCGTCGTTTTTCCACGCATGGCAGAGAAGTTTCTGGATAGCAAATACGGTGATTGTGTCTTTGACGCATTCTCCACCCTCTTGGTAGCGTGTTAGCCATCTACAATGACATAAAGTTATTATACTGAAGAAAGATCTGGGAGAACGTACAAGGGACGACCTAATGATAACCTGAACGGTAACTTAGTGACATCATCCAGAGTCATGCCCTCACAAAACTTCATCACCATGTGATCGAAACCTAGTGCGCTGAATGGTTTGACACTGGCAAGTTCACCTTGGAGAATGCGGCTTGATGGGTCAAGGGAAGGTGGTGGGGAGAATCGGTCAGACTCCCCTGTTGTGGATAAGAAGAGGGTCCAGATAGGGAACGACCGTAAACTCCGCAAAGCACGTCTCATCGATGTGAATGCGGACCACCCTCTACCAGTATTTAAAGGCGCCAAGGTGTGGGCTTCATCAAATGCCAAACTCAATATGGGAGTATGCTGCGCTCTGAGCCCGAAACGAGGGTCGATCCTCCCTAGTACTTGTCGGACGACAGTAGCAAGTTCAACCGTGGCTTGTGCATAATTGTATCAGTCAAGACCATGCTTATGGAAGTAATGGGGAATACCATTTGTTTTTGTCATGAATGTCCCGGGCAGTGTTTTCTGTTTTGAAGGAGTCATCGGCCAATTACTTGAATATAGCTGCCTCGACTGTGAGTGACCTAGCAGCGACACAAAACAGAGACTTGCCTCCTCCGCTCTGACCAATACCCCCTTGTAAAACTGCACACGTAGAGGTGCTTGCTGTCCAAACCGCTGTCCAACTGTCATAAATAGTCGAAACTGCCTGGCAAGGGATTTAGGATAGTGCATTAATGCCGCTGACTTCTCGGCCGGTGAGAGCTCAGAAGAAGAGGTGATGATACTTTGTATTGAGTTATGTGGTCCAATGACGTTGGATACCCTCTCGAACAATGCAGTGAGAAATGCGCTGAAACGAATATCGCTTTCATGCTCTTTAAGGCCAATCCTTGTGAACCAATTGAAGACATTATGGTCAGGAGCCGGATATCCTAGATTGAAACATTAGAATCACACAGAAGAATACAGGAAGAAAATATCACCTTCAGCTCCCTGACAGAGATTGAAGGGGACTACAAAGTGCATCTTGGAGAACTCGTCGACCATTCGTGATTTCCCCATGCCAGAGGACTGTACGATTGGTAAGAGGCAAGCATATGTACCAGCAATATTTTGTCTCATCATGTACTGGTAAAGAATGTTGGCAGCGTCTCCTCTGTATTTGGAAGACCATGACTTGACTGCCGCTGGAAGGAGGTTGGAAAGGAAAGACACAAGCAGGCGACGCTCTACCCACCATCTTCAGATGATTGAGAATCAAGTATCGCTTCAGGGTCGGGAGGACCCGCAGGCTGGATGGTTGGAAGAAGAATTTCTATAACTATCACAGTTTATCAGAGCCATCCAACGACGCCCAAAGCCTACGGTGCATACCCAAGTTTCGTATCTCCTTGAACAATTGAGCCTTCCATGCTTCCTCTAACCTATCCCCCAACTCGGGATGTTGTGCGATTAAACCATTCAGTGGCAGTAACCTGTTCGAGTCGAGTAGTCCGTCTGATTGGAGGACAATTTGGTTGAGAAGAAGAACATGAAATTGATTTCTAGGGAGATTGGCAAAGTGGCGCATGAACTCCACGATAAGTGCATCAGGGTCAAGCCTTATGTGGGTGACTTCGTCCAGGACATTGGGATGAACCGCAAGAGTCATGGGTGCACGTTTAGAAGAGGGCTCACCCACTGACGGCCCAATCTCCAAATTGGATCTCTTTAGAGCTGACTGGTTTGGGAGCGGGACTTGAATTTCGCGACTGCCGTGCGGATGTTGCTGGGGAGGCATCAAGTCTCCTGAAGATCTGTCGTGGACTCGGACTCGTACCACACCGTACTCGTCAGCGTACGTCGCTGCTTCGGCGTCCACTCCCGGATTCCTGAAGGCAGGCTCGGTGACTTCCACCAACGAGCCTCCGATGTGCACAGGTTCTTCTTCCATTAGTGTTTCTGGGGCCAAGGCATCTAATGGAACGGCTCGGGCATGCCTACCACTTCGCAAAGTCGGCATGTTGCAATGTGTTCAGTAGAGTAGGAGGACTTGAGATGGACAGTCCCAAGCCGATCGAGGGATGCATACTGTAAAATGTAATAACAACTAGCTGAACACTGGATATACTAGACTTCCCCTTAGAACTTCCTTTGGATTTGGCTCTCCATATAACATTCAAAACGCGACATATTCCGTGGATCGGCATTGTGGCATTCAGTGTGTGGCCTGAGACAAGCTGTTACGGGGATGGGGAAAATTCCCCATTCCTCGATCCGTTCTTATAGTGGGATGAGTGAGGTCATATCTGGTCTGTACCATAACAGGATATGTAATCGATGAGTGATCCCAGTCTTGCCTGGGGGTGGACAATCGAGTTCCCATCGATCGCGATTGGTGATGTAGTGAGCTATTAAGGGATTGATGGTAGGTAGTTGGAGATGCCAGGATGGACGGGTCAGCCACGGGTACTTGGCGCTCCTCAATGGAGCGTACCGTGTGCGAGGTCGCGACTTGTGAGATGGGTGAGAACTTCATATAGTTGCTATCGGGTACTTGGCGTTCGCAGTGTGAACGTACCAGTAGCGGGTTGATGCCATAAACGTGCAATGAGGACTGACTAGTAGGGCCTTTGGTGACTTGGCGTTCCCAAAGGGAACGTACCGTTGGCGGGGAAACATGATGACTGGCGAAGGAGGGAACAGATGGTGGATGGGCGGCGACTTGGCGTTCGCGTAGCGAACGTGCCGGCATCACGGGAAGATGGGCCTCAAAGTATTCACGATCTCCAAGATCGTGAGGTGACGTCGTATGTTGAGTACTGGGGGGAGAGCGGAGTGATGAAGACCCATAGGGTACAGATTCAGTAGGACGATACACATGTTGAGAGTCTTCAACTCTCGACCTCGAGCTCTCGCGGCGAGGGCCGTTAGAGGACTCGATATAACCAGACTTATAAGACATATTGAGAGTTGTACAGTCACACGGGTTCAGTTGAGTCACAGGGAGGGTTGTTACAGAAGATGGTACACGAGACAGTTGTAGAGCAGTTGTTAGTTAGCGGGAACCACCTTTGGCGGTTTCCGTACAAGACGCATGACTATCTACAAATGGTAAGGTCACGGGAAATCCCGCGAAACACAAACAACCTCGGCCAGCACCAAAACCCCAATGGGGAAAGCTTTGCATGAGGGGGGGAAAGGGGTAGAACGGGTAAGGAGGATAGGGTAGCGGGATAGAGGACGGAAAGGAGAAAGAGGGGAGGAGCGATAGAGAGGGGAAGTCTTTGACCATGCGACGGATATGGTCGTTGGAGACTCCGTATCCGTAACACAAGCGCTGAGCAAGTTCGATCTCCCATGATATTAAATGTTGCCATCACTTAAACATTAGTACAGCGTTAATTTCATCCTTCAGGAGCAAGTATGGTCCTTTCAGCACAGCGACAAGGAGGGCCAAACGACAGTGATGCATCGAGCATGATGGCTCTTGGCCTAGGCAGGTGACCAGCCTCTCTTTAACGGGAAGAGAGGCTGGTTTCACTTGATGGGTTACTGAATGTCGGGTCTACTGAATTGCAAGAAAAGGGTCTTACCCAAGGTTTTTCCGAGATGATGACATGAAGGAATTGCGTAACTCGAGGAGGGTTGTTTGTTTGTATTTACCTTTTGCCTCAGTGAGGCTGAGACATATCTGATACATCATGACAAAAATCTCTAAAATCTCCATGTAAAGATTATTTTCTAAATCGTCAAATACTTACACTAATAATCCAATCCTACCACAACACAGCCATGCAAAATGAGAATGCAACACCCGGTAGCTTACCACAGCGGGGCCGACCACCTTCCACTAAGCGCAAAGTGTCAGCCTCGACTCATCCACATGTCACCATTGAGCCGCTCTCACCGTCCAAGAGGGTCAGAGTGAATGACCACCGATCATTGGATCCAACAATGCCCTCGATGAATTCTGGAACTTTCGGACTTGGCTTTGGAACTCAACAGTCACCACCCCCAGCGGCATTCCCTACCCAAACCTCGTGCTCCTGCACATGGTACCCTAAGTCTCCTTGGTCTATGATGTTTCCCGTTCAGCTTCAGCACCTAACCTCATGTCCGACTATGGTGATCGGCCTACAACTATGTGTGAGGTCTGCGGAAGCTCGAAGGTCAGTTGCTCAACCCAAGCTGAACAACATAGAAAGCAGCACCTAGCCAGAAAAGTGGAGGTTGTCTTCGAAGTCTTGCGCACTCAGCAGCTCACAATTGGGGATGACCATCGTGGACCAGGATGAGCTGCTCAAGAAGGACATGAGCCCTTCCACAAGGACCGAGATAATGTGCTTCCTGCAAGGCCAGAGGAAGTCAAACCGACCGTTAGATTTTGTATGCGCGATTACCCAATGGCTCGCTATGGAAGAAAGGACAGGCCAACGCATAGTGTACCTTCATATAGAATCCCAGTGAAGTCCCCCCAGTCCGAGGAGAATGCAAATGTGCCATGTGTCAGGAAGTCGCGAGTATTTACCGATAGCTCATTTGAGGCACTCCAGAAGTATTTTGTTGAGCAAGTTATTGTTGGAGGAACCGTGTGCTATGAGGGTACTCCAACGGAGCTAACCTGAACAGCCACATTCCTGCATTAGCGTGGGAACATTCTGGGAGAGCAACTCGCCCAGAATCCACCATGTGACTACTTAGTCACAAGACCTCTTTTATATTATTTCGGTCTAACCCATGCCAGTCCACGGATATATTCATTCATTTGAATTCATTTCCTTTTCCCTCAGTTCTTCACGCATATTACCTTTAGTCCTACTCATAGGTAATATCATTAGTTCTTCACACATATTAGCTGAGACTGAGTCCTACTCATAGTCCAGCTCCGAGATCAAGTGTCGCTCATCAACAGTTATCGAGTGTTAGAGATGGGCGGATTCAGACGACTCCGGAGTGGAATCGGAGACTAGCGTGGAGGGACCTTGGCCTCAGCGACTCAAGCAGAGCGCTGTGCCATTGCTGTTTGTCCATTTGGTCCTTAATTTCACAGTAGGCGAGCAGGAAGTCTCTAGGGGACATTTCAGGTCGATTTTGGACTGAGCCTTCATGAGTATGTACAAGCACCACTATATATGTATAATGGAGGGGGCGAAAGCACAAGGAAACCAAGGGGGACCGAATCGGAACAAAGGCGTCCAAACGGGAACAAAGGGATGACAGAAGCGGAGCGGTACCGAAGGTCATAAGGCAGAACCTGTGATACGTCCGAAAGGAGGTAAGGAGGGCGAGGCCCAGAGGGGCAGGAGGATGAGGGGAAGTGGGGATGATGACTAACTGGCTAAAATGGGAAGAAGCAGCAGCCCAAATAGGGATGAGGGAGAAATGCGAGAAATACATTACAAGCAGCGAAAGTGCCGAAGATGATCCGCGAAGCTCGGAGGTTGCGGAGCTTACAGAGGCGGGGTTGAAAGTCCGAGGAATATTGGCAATGGTGTTTATGTAGTATGAGATCACCAATGCAATGGACTAAGACCGAGGTGGAGTCAAAGTCCGAGGTAGGAACTATGACAGAGGCTCAGAGCAAAGGTATGAGCGGTGCCCAAGTACAAAGTACAGGTCAGCGGTGGGAGGTTGTAACTTGGCAGGAGGTTGGCGGAAGAGGACCAGAGGGAAGAGAGGGGAAGTGTCAGGTCCGAAGGTGGGTATCGGAGCAGACGGGAGAAGAGTAGGAGGATGATGGAAGGGTGGAGGTGTTGTGAGGAGGGAGCGGAGGAGTATGAGGAGGAGTAGGAGGAGGGTGGCGAGAGGGGTGGTGTTTGGTCCGAGGTGGTTATCGGAACGGACGGAGATAGGACAGGAG